CAGGACGACCAGCTCTCCTGGTTCCAGTCCAGCACTCTGTCTGCTCCACCCTCACCATCAGCTGGGTCCATCTTACAACCCACAGTGGTTAAGGAGCTGGCAGTGAGGGTTGTGGGTGAGGGAAGGAGGGCATGCTGGGTGTCTGGGGTCACAGTGGGTTACGAGTCCATCGGAGAGGCATGCCCAAGGGAACATCTTGGCGGCGGTCCTTTAGGGCAGGAAGAAGGCCGTTGGGAATGTGGATACAGCATGTTCAGTGGCCAATTGTCTAAGCTTCCTGGAACATACCAGGAAAGAAACTCTGGCAGGCCTGTGTACCGGGAAGGTGGATGCAGCCCACATGATTCAGGCTGTGAAGTGCCCCAGGGGCAGGCCGCCTCAGGCAGGGCTGGGGCAGAGCTGCCTCTTTCTGTGAACAGCCTGAGGAGGTGGGTCAGCAGAAAGCCCTGAGGGGTGAGATATGGCCAGGCAGGCCCTGTGGGAACTAGGAACTTCCTGGGCTCTTCTAGGAGCAGCAGGGGTCAGAGCTACCTGGACTCCAGATATGGGACTTGCTCAGAGGGTTGGCAGGGGCAGAGAAGGGAGGAACAATGGCCAACTCATTGGCAAATGGCAAAGCTCACTTGTTAAAAGTATCAGAGATACCAGCACTGCATGCTGGGCTGTAAGAGTTCAGTACCTCTGACGGTGGAGGTGGAGGTAGAGGTGGTGATGGTGGTGGTAGGGATGATGATGGTGGTCATGGTGGTGATGGTATTGATGGTGGTCGTGATGGTGGAGACGGTGGAGATGGTGGTGGTTATAGTGACAGTGATGATGATATTGATGGTGGTGGTGATGGAGATGGTGGTGGTCATGGTGGTCATGGTGGAGATGATAGTGTGGTGATGATGGTGGTGGTTATGGTCATGGTGGTGATGAAGGTGATGATGGTAGTGTCAGGGACACTGGCAGTGACAGTGATAGTGGTGGTGATGTTAGTGAAAGTGTTGATAGTGAAGGTGGAAATTAAAGAAATGAGGGCAGGAGGAGCTCCAGTCTACTGAGAGATGCCTTCCCTACCCATCTTCTCTTTGTATTTCTTCCATCAGTTCCTCATTCATGCATTTCTTTATTAAGCACTTGTCATAAACCAAGCACTTGGCCAGACTCATGGGTCCAGAGGACAGGACACTTGTGGCTCCGGGCACTTCCTCCCTAGTCTAGCAAACAATGGTGTCCAATGTGGCTCTGCCAAGTTCTGCCGAGGAAGAGCTGGGCCTGTCTCAGAATTCAGAGAGGCTCCTAGGGCTGGAACAGGTGGTGGAGAGGGTAGTGAGGTATCCAGAAAGAGGGTACCCACACCAAGGGCCCCAAGGTGGAGAGGCCTGGGGTCTGGCCACACTAGAGACACAGCACAGGGCTGGGGCAGTGGAGAGGGTGGAGCTGGAGAGTCATCCTCTATTGTCAAGGGACTTCATGCAGGCTTCTGACTGCATAGAAATGTCCTCCAGGTTGTAGGCAGAGCCATTATGGAGAAGGGTGAGGATGGAATGTTGCCCAGAACCCTGGGGCTCCAAAGGGGTGGTTTTAGCTGCTTACCTCATCCACTCCCAGCATCACTTCCTCCCTGCCTGCCTGCCCGAGTGCCTGGATTGGGTCCAGTGCTGGCTGCCCTGCCCAGGGCTCTGTGGCCCACTCCCGCATGTGCTGAGACTAACAAGAAGGGCTTGGGCTGGTGTCTTAGTTATCTGGAGCTACTATGACAGAAATACACAAGTGGGTGGCTGTGACAGACACTCATTCTCTCACAGTTTAGGAGGCTGGAAGTCCGAATTCAGGGTGTTGGGTCTAGGGGAAGGCTCTCTCTTGGCATGGAGGAAGGTCCTTGTCTCTGAGCTTTTGCACCTGAGCAACGTTCATATGACCTGCATCTCTCTCCCCCACCTCTGCTACCTAGCTCACTTGTTTAATCTCTTTTTATATGTCAAAGAGACTGACTCAAGACAGGTCCACTAATCCTGCCTTATTAACGTAACAAAGACAGCCATTCCCAAATGGGACTAGAGCCACAGGCATAGAGGTTAGGATAAATCACATACCTTGGGGGACACATCCATCCACCCAGGGCTGACATCTGGCCTTCCCGGGGTGAGGCCATACCCCAGGTATCCCACCACTGGCTCAGGTGCTGCCAAGGGATGGGGTTCATGACAGGATGGGGTTCATTGTTCAAGTCTGCACGCTGCTCGCTCTGCCAGGGCCCCAGGAGTCACACTGTTCAGGCTTCTGTCCAGCCCTCCAGTGCCACCTGGGAAATCAGGGAGTTGGTCTTCATGGCCCCCCTCTCAGAACCCTCTGATGTCTGTTCCCTGGGGAGGTGTGAGCATGGGTTGGGGTATGCATGGCCGCAGAAGCCAGCAGCCGGCTGAGTAGAGTGGGTCCTCCAGCCATGCAGACTGCTGGCAAAGGTGGATCCAGCCCCACACAGTCCCACCAGGTGAGGGCAGGCAGACAGAGGGCCAGGTCAGAGGTCAGAGGTCCATCCTGTCCATGAGGGCTATGCTACCCAAGAGGGTGGCCATTAGCCACATGTGGCTATTTGCATTCAACTTCAGTAAAATAAAATTGAGTGTAAGAACAATGCTATGTACATACAATGGAGTATCACCCAACATTAAAGAACAATGATGAATCGTAAAGAACCTGGAGGACATTGTGCTGGATGCAATTAGTCAGTCACAAAAGGACAAGTATTACATGAGGCCACTGCTGTAAAAAGTCAGGACACACACACACACACACACATCTAACATAAGCCAGCCCATTCCAGGCAGCCACACCTGGCCAGCAGCCACAGTGCTGGACAATGCAGACGAGGACATGTCTGTCTTCCCAGAGAGGCCCATGGGGATTCTGACCCTAAGCCCAGCCCTCACAAAGGAGCGCATCAGGTGGCCACTCAGAGGGTGATCCAGGGTCTCTGCCTCTGAGCAAGGCCTGGCACCTGCCCTCTGCATAGGCTTCCTTGGGGGTCAGCTGTCCTTCAAAATGTCTGGGGGTGCCCTAGGCAGAGAGTGCTGGGTACCCAGGCCACAGGTCTCCATCTGCCCTTTCAGACCATTCACCTCCATGAAGATGGGTTTCTGCTGTTCAGTGTCTGTGGGTCACCCCACACCTTGGAGGGAGCTGTGTTCGGAGGGGCTGTGGAAGGAAAGTTCCAGGCTAGAGGAAACCACAAAGTAGGAAAAGTTGACTTGGAGAAAGGTAGTGAGTCACGGGGTCGCTGTGAGTCGGAACCGACGCAATGGCTTCCAACAACAACAACAAAACAGAGGCGGAAACAGAAAACAGGCTTCCCTTTCGTGTGAGAAGGAGTCCTGCTTCTGAGCTCAGCCTCCGTGTGGCACAGCTACAGGCTGATGTTTCCAGATCTTCGAGTCAAACACTGGCTGTTTGCGGGAAGGGCACTGTGCCTTGTGCCTGCTCCCTGGAGAGTGAGTGAGGCATTCCTGGGTCGGAGGTATGTCAGAGCCCGCGTTCTCAGCAGAACAAGGCTGACCTTTCAGGAAAGTCTTGCCTTGGCTGGGGCAGAGGGAGAAGGTGGGGCAGCTTGTCCCTACAAGTGGTTGCTGCTTGCTGTGGGTGGTGCAGAATCAGAGCCAAGGGCCCTCCAGGCCCCCAGGGTGAAGGCAGTCCTGGGACCTACACCCAGGGAGCTAGTACAGAGCCAGGCCTGGGCCCACCTGGAGGGTTCTCCACCAGCCCCCCAGGCTCAGCCACACTCCCTACGTGGCTGTGAGCCCTGGTACCAGTGGACATACAGAGCCCTGGCAGGTCCAGGAGCAGCTTTGAGCCCACTTGGGTGAGAAGGAACAGCTGGGACCTGGCATAGACCCCAGGTCTGAGCCAGGCCAGTGCCTCCATACCCCTCCATCTGCAGCTGGACCCCCTTGCCCACAGGGCCAGGGCATCAGAGCACAGGGAGTCATCAAAGCAGAGGTGGGACGTCCCACTTTCCATGGGCCATTCTTCACGGGACTTCACAGCTGAAGAGGTTCCACCACTGCTGGGACACGCGTGTATACCACGCACAAAGGGAGAACCTACGTGGGGAGAAGTTTCCTGGGGACTTGAGAGTTGTCCTGCGGCTGACGTGACCCAGTGGGTCTCTGAGCCTGTGACCACCCTGGGTACTTTGCGAGAAAATACATCTTCTGAGCTGCTGTAGGGCCACTTTTCCTGATTAAAGCAGGGCTCCTTCACCCTGGCCCCTCCCTGGGGAGCTGCACCCCCACCTGCTGGCTACCCCTTCTGTAGTCTCACCCATCCTCAAAAAAGGGGTGTGAGCTCAGGGACCCAGCTCATAACTCAGCCTGGCCAAGCCCAGCCAGACAAACAGTGGGTTAAACAAGTTGGCTGCAGACCTTGTCAGAGCCTTTGCATGCTAATGTACACAGTCTCCTGCAGAGGAGCTGTGGATGGATTCCGTGGGCTTCAGAGTAGGGGACCCACAGGCAGCTCCTCTCGGGAGCTGTTGGCACTGGCCCCGGCCCCGGCCCCGGCCCCCAAGTTTAACCCGGGAGAAGTCTGTGTCTGTTCACTTTTGGGGTAATTTTTCAGAAACCAGAGCCTGCCCTCTCCTCACCAGCCTCTGCCACCCCAGCCCCCCTGGCCCTGTGACCTGGTCATTGCTTCATAACCCCAGGGCTCCCAGTGGGAGGTCAGGATCCCAGAGCTGGGGGAGGTGTGCAATGGCACCCCATTACATCGCATTTCCACCATCAGAAATGACAGGCGGCCAGACAGACACACACCTCGGGAGCAGGGAAGCAGTGCATAGCAGTCATTGGGAAGTGATTTACGGCCTTGTGTTTAATGCTGGGTTTCACTGTAAGCCTGTGTCAGTCAGCGTGTCCCTGGGAACCTGTCGCTCCCAGGACACAGCTCACCTGCCTGCACCTCTGATCAGAAAGTCTTCTCAGCAACACACACTTTCTGCTTCATCTCATTTTCTACAGGCAAACGAGGGAGCAGGAGACACCCCCCGACTTCTTTTACTTCTCTGACTATGAGAGGCACAATGCAGAGATAGCTGCCTTCCACCTGGACAGGTGAGTTTGCCCTCCCTAAACATCCTCACAGAGGAGCCGTGCTGACTGCGGGCCCTTCGAGGTTTGCTAGTGAGCACCTGCATCTTGCCAGGCACTGGGATCCAATTGCACAATGTAGCAATAATAACTACTCGCTGTGTAGGGATGGTTCTGATCTGACCACTGTGTAGACTTCAACCCTAACACTCATCTGAGCACCATGTAGACATTAACCCTACCCTCATCTGACCACCGTGTAGACGTCAACCCCAGCCCTCATCTGAGCACCATATAGACGTCAGCCCTAACCTCATAACACCCTGTAAGTACTACCATTAACCCATTTTACAGATGAGGAAACCCAGGCACCAAAGTCCCCTGCACTTAGCTATTACTTGCTAACCAAGGAAGGGTCCCTGCTCTCCTGCCCCTGCCATATGCCCAGGACCTGGACCATGCCCAACAGTCAGGACATACCTGTGCACAGCTGTTGACAGACTGGTGTGTAGGTGCAAATGAAGGAAAGAGGGGAAGAGAGAGGGAAGGAGGGGAGTGGGAGGGAAGGAAGGAAAGAAGGAAGGGACTGGTCACCTCTGTTGCCACAGAGGATGGGGACCAGGTGTCCACAGACCCCACTCAGCACACTGACCTGATTAGGAAGTGACAGTGTGTGCAATGCTGCTTGGAAAGGCTCCCATTAAAAGTGGGTAACTTCATTTAATCTCATTTTAAACTTAGCACAGAAATGAGGGCATGTTTCAGTTCTCTGGGCAATCACAAGGGCTGCCAGCGTCAGTCCCTCGGGGGCCGTCCCTCCTGTCCTCGCAGGCTCGGCACAGCCGGGCCTCCTGAAGATCAGATTTGGATGCAGGCAGAGTTGAGGCTGTTCTGGTTCCTGGGGTCTGTGCAGCGGCTGCCTGGGTGTGCAGGAGAGCCACCTGGACCACGAACTCATTTCCCTGTTGTTCTCTGGCCAGGATCCTGGATTTCCGCCGCGTCCCTCCTGTGGCAGGCAGGATGGTCAACATGACTAAGGAAATCAGGGACGTCACACGGGACAAGAAACTGTGGAGAACCTTCTTCATCTCACCAGGTAAGCTCTCACCTGGGGGGGTTGGCCCTCAGCCACTCTCAGGCAGCTTTCCACACACACTGTAGCTATGAGCTGTAGGTGCTATAGTGAGCAAGAAGGAAATCATTCTGTATTGCTTGTCTTAGTTACTGGGGCTACAGTAGTAAAAACTACCACAAGTGGGGAGCTTTAAGGAGCAGACTTCTTTTCTCAGAGTCCCGGATGCTGGAGGTTTGAATTCAGGGTTCTAGCTCTGGGCAGGTCCTTCTTTGCAGTAGCCCCCAGTGTTCCCTGGCTGATTGTATCATTACATGGTATCACCTGCCCACTGTGTGTGCCCTTGTCTGGGTCTGTTCTCCGTCCTTATGACACTCAGATGGGATTAGGGTTAGGACCCACCCTGCTCCTTTATGACCTCATTAACATAACAACAGAAAACTGCTTCTGAGCAGGGGCTTGTTCACAGGGACAGGGCTTGAACTTCTATCTTTTTGCGGACACAAGTCTGTCCATAACAGCAGTGTCCTTCAGCCTCCTGCTTTCACTTAACAATA